TGCACACACACACACACACACACACACACACACACTCTACACACACACACACACCACACACACACACACACACACACACACACACTCCACACACACACACACACCACATACACACCGCACACACACACTCCACACACTAATACACACAAATACACACACACACACAAACACACAAACACACACAAGCGCGCAAAAAGTCACTTGATGGACACACAAAATGATGTTATTCTCGCACCCGCACCTCCCGTTTCTTTTTGTGCTTTTTTTTTCTTTCTTTTATTTTTTTGAATGATTTCTTTTTCATTCTTATAAGTTTTTCTGATATTCCAAATTTGATCGGTATATGCTGTTGGCAATGATCTTCTTTTTTGCTTCTGTAAAGGTCATTGTCACATTTATCTGGGATAGAGTTCTCTTCTCGGAGAGTTTGAACGTATGAAGGAGAGAGAAACTAGCAGACTGCTCCATGCATTACATAGACAGGTGGGGTGGTTGCAGTATGATGGTGTGGGGTTGAATTTTTCCAACCATAGAACCTAACCGTACATTTTCAACGTTGTAGTCGACGCCAACGAGTACCGGAATGTTCTCCGGAAGTGGTTCCTTTCTTTCAAACCCATAGACGTATGCACACATTCTAGCAATACACATAGACGTATGCACACATTCTAGCAATACACATAGACGTATGCACACATTACAGCATGACAATGCGCGCCCACACTTTGCCCGTGCAATGGTGCAATATCTAAGGTAGCGAAATGTGAATGTTTTGCCATTGCCAGCCTACTAAACACACATGTCACAATGTGGGCTTGAGAGTGACCTCTCAAAACGACACTAACATTGCACAACCACTGGGACAAGCATTGATTCAAGAGTGTAATGAACTGCCACAACAATTAAATTTGAAAAAGAAAAAACAAACTAGATCAAAGAACAGAATATTATGCCAAGCTTGCATTATTGCAATGGGGGACAATATCCGTTCTTGACATGAAATTTTGAAATCTAGGCGTACCAGTCTGTGCTTAACGCTGGGCCACCATGTGAGACATGATCAAGCAACAAAAGGTGATACACTTCCCTACATACTTTGAAATATGTCTTGGCAATTTTTGTTTTTATATGTTGAATAATAAGCCAAATACAGGCTTCTCTCCAAGTAGAAAGTTTCTTTTGCGGCTGTGTATATCATCATCATCCAGTGCCAGATCTACGACAGACATCGGCGATCATGGTTCTCCATTCATTCCTTTGCTCGGATGCTTTAAAAAAAGCTACGTTTCCCTGATCTTTCCCTGTTACCCATTTGTTTAGGTTCCCTAAGTATGTTGTTCTGGGCCTACCCCTGTCTCGCTTGCCCTCAATTTTGCCAGTGAGAGCTAGATGTTCAAGACCCTTATGTCTATTCAGGTGTCCCAAAAACTGCATTTGTCGTTTCCTGATTGTTTTTAACATTGAGCGTCCCACGTGGGCTTCATTAAGCACTACCTCATTTGATTTCTTTTCCTTCCACGATACTCTTAGCAGTCTCCTAAGAATCTGTTGCTTCTATTTTATTTTCACTGTCTTTAGTGATTGTCCAGCATTCACAGCCATATCGAAGGGTTGACCAAACATTGCATTTCAGGGCTTTCATTTTGGTGTTCATTGAGATGTTTCTATTTTTCAGGATTGGGCTCATTTTATTGAAACTAGCCTTAGCCATTAAAATTCTCCGTTTTATTTCTGTGGAACATTTGGCATCAGATGTTATCATATACCCTAGATATTTAAACTGTTGGGCTTGTTTGACATTTTCACCTTTGCTAATGAGATTACAACTAGAATTTGCTGCTTTTTTGGATATTACCATGCAATCTGTTTTCTTTACATTCAACAATAATCCTATACGTTCACGTTCTGTTACAACAGTATCTAGAAGCAATTGAAGGTC